AATCCCCACACATCCATAGGAGAGAACTCATTAAGAATTTTGATGTTGATTTTTTTCCTCAGATAAGCCTTTTTCCCCACTGAGGACTTTTCTGCCTTTCAAGGCAAGTCAAGTAGCATTTATTAATGTCCTATTATGTACCAGGCACTGGGCTAAATGCTGAGAATACATAGAGAGGCAAAAGACAAGTTCCTCCTCTCCAGGTGCTCACAGTCTAATGGGGGAAACATGAAAACCTAGAAGATACAGACGATAAATGAGTGGTTATCTCAGAGGAAAGACATCTCCATTAAGGAGGACCGAGAGAAGGTGGATGGGAGTTGAGCAGAGACCAGACGATTCTTTTCTCTAGCAGCAGAGCTGTTGTGTATGTGGGTTTAATCCACAAGTTTCACAAGTGAAATTGTTCTGAATACCCCCAACTCAAGTTCAAGTAGCAGGATCAGCTGGAAGCAATGAAGCGGCATCCTTCAGTGACTAGTTTGGGGACATTAGCTCATCTTAAACTTTTCCTAGTATCTGGCCAGTATACGTGAATCACTGGCCTTGCACAAACCAATGTTGACGTAAATGAACTGACCATTTAGAATCAGTTTCTCTAGCATTCGTGAAGTCAGTTTGCATGGGTTTTAGTATTTTTAAGTATAAATACTAGATAATGAATTATCTGTTAAAACAAGAAATGAGGATCATCATGAAAAATTAACTCCCCCTTTCAAGATGGGGCATCCCCAGATGTGCATTTGGAGCACATGGCTTCTGCCCCCTTCGAAAAGCATGCAAGAAGACAAGGCTGAGGGGTGGAAGGTTCAGTAGACTTCTCTTAGTGGACACCTTTGTTTTAATCCCCCGGGGGAAGTGGGGACACTGGCTGGCTAAGTTGGAGCCTCCAGAGCTGCAAGAACGTGGAATACATACATGCCTGGGGTTCATTTCCAAACAAATCTATTCCTGTTCAATTGTCTAAATGACAGCAAACAGTAGCAGAATAAATGGACCAAAGGTAAGTAGTGTTCTCATGTTTGACCCCAGACACGAAGCCCTTTACTGCTGATCTGCTCCCCTTGTTTTCTTTCCCATAACTCATCTCTCCCTGCCTTCAAGGCATCACTGTACTAATAGGTTAATGGCAGTTAATGGGCTTGAGCACTTGCCCCATGTCTAGGGGATCTTCTGGGTGGATCACTTGAGTATGCTTGCTTTGGGTGAGTTCACTTTGGCCCAAGCAGCCACTTTTACCCATGTTACCTGTGTTTGTGGAAGTAAAGCCGCACTAACTACAGCCTTCACAGGACCCCAGGAAGAAAGTCCAGATGAAGTCATTCCTCCCCCACTTGAAGAAGGCGGCTCTGCTAAATCCAGTCAAGGGGAGCCTGTCTTCATGCCTCTTGATCAACCCAACCTACACCCTCTAAGAATCTGGCCAATGGATTATTCATTCCCTTCCTCTCTCTTCTGACTGGCTGTATTCCCGCTGGTTACAAACATGCCTCATTCTTTTTTTTTTTTTTTTTTAAAGTGACTTGCCCAGGGTCACACAGCTATTACGTGTCAAGTGTCTGAGCCGGATTTGAACTCAGGTCCTCCTGACTCCAAGGCCAGAGCTGTCTCCACTGAGCCCCACCTAGCTGCCCGTAAACATGCCTCATTCTTAAAACACCCTTTGACCCTGCAATCTTGAGCTGTCAGGCGTCTTCTCCCTTTAGTGGCCAAAGTGGCAAAGAAGCTTCTCCACCTACTCTGGAAGATTCTTTGCTGGCTCCTCCCTCACCTCCCAGCCCCCATGATCGCCAGGATTTAAAAACCCTCCTATTTGTCATACATGGTCCCTTCCCACTTCTGTTTTACACTCCCTTGTGTACTGCAGTGGATGACCCTGCGCCACAGCACTTCTTACTGTTCATACATAGCCAATGGTCCATATCCAGATGTGCACACACACAGCAAGTGCTTATTACTTGTTATATGCTTGATTTGACTCCTATAACACCAGTTATTTCTATGCAAAAAACAAAAAAACTAAATATTTTGCCCTAATCTCTCCTGAAATAGTCCTGTATTACCAAAATGCCCACTAGGAATCTATATGGATGTCGGGTCAGTATCTCAAATTTGGATTTCACATTTAAAATGAAACTCATTTTCTTACCTCCCAATCCCCAAATTTCCCCGAATCTACAAAGGCTGTCCACCCCGCTAATTTCTCAGCAGGCAGTCAAGTTTCACTGCTCAGTCCTCCACCGAATTTCTCCCACCATCCCACAGTTCATGCCTCCATCCCACCCTGTCGGGCCCGCATACACTCACCTCCAGCCCACCGAAATGGTCTTCTAACTAATCGTGTTCTCCGTCCCTTCCCTCTCCAAACATCACAGCGTCTCACTAGTTCTTCTAAAAGAAAATACAATCTCTTGGCACAGGAGAGGCGGAACAAGCAAGAACGCCTACCACGTGCCAGCGACTATGCTAAGTGGATTTTTTTTTTTAACAAGTATTTCATTTGACCCTAACAGCAACCCTGTGAGGTTGGTGCTATTATCCCTGACTTGTCTGTGGTCAAACAACTAGTGTCTGAGGTCAAATTTCAACTCGAGTCTTCCGGACTCCAGGGGCAGTGAACCATCCACGGCACCCCCAGCTGCCTCTTAACCATGTGGTTCCAGCCGGCCTGCCCTCCTCATCTTCCTTCACATTGCCCCTCCCCAAATTCAACATCCCATTTCCCAGATTCTGTTCCTTGACTAAGCTATTCTCTGAGTGGGAATATACTTCCTGTCCTGCTTCTTTCAAGCTTCACTAAAGGCTGCCAACTTCTAGGAAGCCTTTCCCGATCCCCCACCTGATCAATTATCACTCTTTCAAATTATCACGTACTGCCCCACGTTTACAATAGAATGTCAGTTCTGTGAGGCCAATTTCCCCTATTGTTTTTATATCCCTCCTCCCCCCCATCCCCACAGCGCCCTGGAAACATTCTATGATGAAGATTTGCACCTGCTTCACACCTGACAGTCTTTGCCTGGAGTGGAGAAATTAAAAGTGACTTGCCCAGGGTCGTGCGTCTGGTATGTGTCATTAGACCTGGGGACTGGAATCAGTCTCTTCTGATTCCTAAACTGGCTCTCTGGTGACTATGCCAATCTTACTCACTTGTCTTCTCTCTCCTCTTTCAGAAAAGCCTTTCATTCAGCTGCAAAGTAAGCAATCCCAATTCCTTGGTCTCCACCGCCACGTCTGCTCGCTTTGGGGGGAATTCCCAGTGCCTGACACAGGGCAGAGGCCTAATAAAATACCTGATTAGCCAACAGGTGACAAACCCTGCAGAGGTGCCCTTACAAGGCCCAGGGAAAGCTCCAAGCTCCAAGGGCAAGGTTCAAATTCCTTGGAAAGGGACATCCTGAGTCTCCTTAGGAGATGTTTCAGGCAGCAAGAAGAACAGGATGACTCCTAGAGTTGGCCAACTGTTGCTACTTGGGACATAGCATGGCTTAGAATTTGTCTCTGGTGCCCTAGATATGACTTTGGGATGCTCTCAAGTTGTGTCCCCCAATAAGCTGACCACTTAAGTATTTGTTGTTTACATCCACCTGTAGTCTTGGGGCTCTTGTTTCTTAAAAACAACATGAAACTACATGACAGAGCATCTTTATCCAGAACTCAAATAGCTGGAGTACAGCACTCTATCGAACCGTCTGATCTCGAGCACGACACTTATTTTGTATCCACGTGAAAGCCGACGGTGAGGCTCGGAGGTAAGGGACTGGCCTTTAGTCACCGAGCCAGCTCAGACCCAGATCTTCCTGACTCAAAGTCTGGACCTCTACATTACACCCTCGTGCTTCTCCTATCAGTGGGAGTGGAAAAGCATTGAAATGCTTCTTTAGCGTCTCAAGCCTCTAAGAGTCTAATCAAACCTCCTGGAGAATGGTGGCCAGAGAAGGCAACTTTGGTCGGCATGGCTTTAACAAGCCCTTTGAGGTGGGCCCAGGGCAGGCCCTCTCCAGAATAAGCTGGTCATTTTGATTTCATTGTTCCTGTTCCCAGTCTGGGGTGGAAAGCAACAAGAGGGGAATCCCCAAGGCAGGGGCAGTTTAGGGGAGTTTTTTCCCCCCCCTCGGACTCTCACAGGGTGGGAGCTCCCCAAAGTGGAGCCAATCAACTTGAGTTTTTCAAAAACATGACAGAGAACTGAAGCTTACTTGTGCCTTTCAGGAAACACAATCTAGAAGTTTTGTGCGGTAAGAAGCTGCGTGACGCTGGCACAGCCTTTGTTTTGGTTCCGATGTGTCTCCCACGGTTACATTCTAAACTGGCTGCTGCTCGGTCCTTAATCAAGTCTCCAGAAAGCTCTTTTGCCAGTCTGCTTTAAATTCAGCATGTACAGAAAGTTACGCCCTGATTAAGAGGGCTGGTTAGCATCGACCCCACGGGTCTTGGTAAATAAAGCACAAAAATTAGTGCCAAAGAGCTTCCAGATAATAGAACTAGTATTTAATTCTGGAAGCCTTAAAACAACAAGACAAACCCACTAAATTTTAACAACACAATCCCCATGACTATCTAATCAACTAATAAGCACTGATTATTTTATGTCGCTGTGTGACACTGTGAGGACTAGACTCGCACAGACAGTGGGCAAGCAGCCCATGGTGACTGAGGAGAAGGACTGGAAACGCACACTTTTAAATCTATAAAAAGACTAATACCTTTCTCGCAGCTTCCTTCACAGCTGAAACAAAACTAGATCCATAAACTGAAGAGAAATCCAAAACTCCCACAAGCTGCCAATATACTGATCCCGGCACTAATACAATGTGTCTACTCCAAGGGCAGATTAATACTGCACGGCTCCACCTCCCACCTCAAACGCCCAGATTCCATTTTCAAAGTATACTGACCATTTGACTTAAAACAGGTGAGATTGCAATAAATCTTATTGAACTGCAATTCCAAGGTAAACATAATTCAAGAGATTTAGACTAGTAAAACAGTAGCAAGGAAACATTTTTCCATTTGTTTATTGTTAAACATTATATGTTTCTATACAGGGTGACCAAACAAACTGTAAACATGGCTAATGATGCCTAATTATGAAAGCATGGGTCTTGAAGGAAACTAAAAACCCAATGAACAAATGAACACCCAAATGTGCATTATTGGTTTAACAATTTCATTTCCAAAGACTTCGACAGTTCTTTCCTGAAATGGTGATAAGTAGAACTTCTTGTTAAAATCACAAAAGATGTGGTACACAGAATCACACTAAATGTTTTAAACAGCATGATATTTACAAAATAGGCCATTTCATGAGTTCCAAATCCTGTTGATAGAACATCTAAAAAGCTTTATGAAGAAAACGTTACAAAACAAGGACTCAGAAAGCTCTTAATACAAGTGTTAAAAAAAAATAGGTGTGTTAACTAGTCCACAAGAATGTTTGAGCACACGGTCCACAAGGGCATGAATCTAGCAAAATCTCTTTAAATCAACTGCTGGTGAGTCTTCAGAGAGGCAGCATTTACATCCAGATGGCAGTGGAGTTTTTTTTAAATAAAGACGTCTTGCTCTCTTTCTGACCGGTCAGAGCTCCATTGGAGTTTTAGAAACATTTAACTAAAATATCTCCCCCTTTTACCAGTAAACACTGTTTGCTCATTGTTGTATTTTTGGTTTACATCTGCTACAGAAACAGGTTCTAGTCCTGCCCAGGGGTCCTCCAGCATTGAAGGTTTGAAATAGTTTTCCACATCATTAGATATTCTTTTCTCTTTGCCACGCGCTGAACCAAATGGTGTAGATGTCCTGGGTGAACCCTTTGGAGAAAAATCATCAAATAAGGAAATATTCAACAAAAAGACTTAAAAGTGTAAATAATTTTTTAAAGAGAAAAATGAAAATGCAACTTCTTCTCCAGAGTCTTTTCCAGAAATTAAAACCTTACTCAATTTAATGTAATCTTGCCACTCCATATTATGGCCAAGGATACTAAGGAAAATGGCCAAGTTATGTTCAACAGCAATGTTCCTCACATTTTGCTGTTCATGTACCACTTCAGCAGAAGGGGTTGAGGGTCACCATCCCACTGTTAAAGAAACAAACCAGGGAGCTTTTGCCTGTGGCCACAATTTTAAATGTTCACCTCAGTACTTTGTAAATGCAGTTACCATTTAAAAAAAAAAAAACCACTCAAAAAACTACTAAGCATTAGACAAGGCCTTAGGCAAAACTGCAAGGGGCCAGAGGCATCGTCGTACCAAGAGCCATGGTGCTCACAACTTGAGTCAGGCCTGGCCAAACCTCCTTTGACTCTAGAAACTAGTCCCCAGATTTTGCAAGCAAATGATTTCTTCTGCTTTTAGATGAATACAGAGCAAAACTAAATTTTTTTTTTGTAAAACACTGGTTCTTAAACTTGGTTTAAACTCTAAAACAGGGTATTGACAGAAGTTCTGAAATAGGGAGTTAACATCTGTCTAGGGTACTGTCTTGCTTAACTAGCCTTCCCTCCTCTCCAGTGAACCCTCCCTGGGATGTCTGCACTGCTGCCTGACATCAAGTGATGATGATGTACACGTCTTTTCATTTTATTGTGATGAAAAAATACAAGTGTGCCAAGGGCAAGAATGAAGTGCCTTTCCATAAATTTCAGGTAAAAACATTCTGAAAATACTAGGTGCTACAGTGATCTCAAGTTTGGCATGAGGCTAGCCTCAAGATACCAGGACTAGTTTGGACAGTGGCTCAGTCCAGTTTCCTCGGATTAACCTAGTCAAGTCAAGCTTCTATGGCTTAAAGGAGGAAGGAAAGAAGATGAATAATACGAAGGTCCTTTCTTATTATCTCTACCTCCATGTTTTCTACTTCTCCCCCTTCACGTTCTCAGCGTGGTCCATTATTTACCCCTTTTAACACATCACCTGTTAGATGCAACTCAATGAAATTAAGCACCTATATATGCAAGGCTGTTCTAAGTTGGTGGGGAAACAAAAACATGTCCTTTGCCTCCAGTTATTTTTTTTTTCAAAACTGTCAAATGATAACCACTTAAGAAATCAGAACATGCCTTGAAAGAATAGCAAATTCTAACTTAGCATACATAAATTAAGACTAAGCAGAAAAGTGTAAACACCTGGACAGGAACAGGCCATCTGAGGGTATCAAGAGCCCCTGGTGCTGCTGGGCTTCTCAGGTGCTTTTTAAGCCCGGGCTTTTTCAGAACTGTATTACAGCCAGCACTAAAACAATCTAAGAAGTGTCCATAATCTTTAAAAAATGCCAGATCTACACTTCATTTGGAGACAATTTGCATTGTCTCTACACAGCCCCCGGAAGAAGCCTATCTATCTATAGAGACACCCACCCACCCCCCTTTTACTACTTTTGGCCTCTGAAAAGGTACACACGCATATATACATATATGTGTATGCAGAAGGGGAAATGCTCATGATGGTCATTTTAAAAATGGTTCTTTTCTATTAAATAATAACAACAATGGTAACAGCTAACAATCACATAGCACTTCCTGTGCGCCAGGCACTGTGCTAAGCACTTTACAATAACCTCATTTGTTCATCACTACAACCCTGGGAGGTAGGTGATATAACCGGACCCATTTTACAGATGAGGAAGACTGAAGAAGTGAAGTGATTTCCCAGGATTACACAGTTAGTAAGGGCCTGAGGGCAGTTGTGAACTCTGGTTTTCCTAACTCCAGGCTTTGAACTGAATCCACTGTTGCCCCAAATGCAAATTAAAACAACCCTGAGGTACCACCTCAAATCCATCAGACAAAAAAGGGAAATGTTGGAGAGGCTTGGGGAAAATAGGTACCTTAATGCACTCCTGGTGGAACTGTGGGACTAGTCTAGTCACTCTGGAAAGCAGTTTGGAACAATATCAGCAAAGCTGTTTAACTGTGCACACCCTCTGACCCAGTGATATCATCACTAGGTTTACACCCCAAGAGGTCAGAGAAAGAGGAAAAGGACCCATATGTATCAAAATATTTATAGCAGCTCTTCTTGTGGTGGCAAAGAATTGGAAACTGAAGGAATGCCTGTCAACTGGGGAAAGGCTGGGCAAGTTATGGTATATGAATTTGACTGAATATTCTTGTAACATGGAAAAGGAGGAAGGCGATGGCTTCAGAGAAACCCGGGAAGACTTGCATGGACTGATGCCTAATGAGGTAAGCAGAGCCAAGAACCATTTATACAGAATTGTAAACATAAGCCATCCTGAAAGACTCAAAGCAATGACCAGCCAGAGTTCCAGGACACTCATGATGCACAGAGGTGATGATTCAAGAGCACAGACTGAAGCCCATCTAGGTACCAATTTATTTAGGACAGGGCCAATGAAGTAATTTGCTTTGCCTGACTATATGTATTTGTAAGGGGTCTTGTTTTTCTTGCTTTCTCAAATGGTGGGGGAGGGAGAGAATTTGGAACTGAAAATAAGATGAACTTAATTTTTCAAAAATATAATCCTCAATTCTTGAAAAGAAAATACATTTGTCTAAATTTGTAAGATTAAACTATGTTTTAATATGTTAGCACTTCTAAAAATCTATATAAATTATAAATTAATTCTTGCCAATTTATTTTTTTCTGGCAAAATTACTTATTCAATGTTAAAGTGAAACAAGGCCAAACAATAAACTCTGAGGGGCTGCAATCACCAAGTTTGCATAGGCTATGCTTATATTCCTTTCAGGGGAGGTGCCCCCAAATGAGACTAACTTAAGAACACATGGAAGCATTTCTAATTTGCATTTTTTCTTTATAATAAAGTGAGTTGTAAGTGCTGTTAAATTAACCATTTCGTTTCCAAATGCCAGTAGTTTCATCAAACAGATCCCAGTGGCCAAGAAGAGCCCTGCTTGCATTAAAAAAAATGTCTATGTGGAGGAACCATTTGGGACAGTGATCCAGGGCTCTTAGTTCACAAACCTCCTCACTACTATCACACCATAAAATGTGTCTGACCAACACCCTCAATGTACATCATTTGCTCCTGCCGGCGAGGCAGGAGGAAAACCACAGAAGCTGTCTTAAATGCCCTTCTAAGAAATGAAAAACATAGACTCCTCTAAGAAAATAAGTGTTTGGGGGTACTTACAGCTAGATGGACAAATGTGGTGGAAGAATACAAATTATAATAAAATCTCCACCAACTTATAAAACACAGCGCAACAGGTTACAACACTCTTCAGCAACATCTCTGGTGAAAATATGAAGCCCCACAGGAGATCTGTAAGGTTAAGCATTTGATTTGCCAACTGATAATGCAAAGTCAACTGAAATCATGGGAGCACAGCATAATGGATTGATGTCTACTTATTTATCCCATGATTTAAACCTGTCTCTTGTTGACTTTAGTTATAGACTCTTCAAAAGCTCCACAGAAAAGCAAAAGTAGTTATAAAACATCTACAACTAAGTATCTGTGTTTCAGGCAAAATCTGCTGCCTTAAAAAAGCAAGAAGAGAGTGACAAAAACGAAACTGTTCAGTAAAAGCTGATGTGGCCAAGTCCTTTGAGAGGTAACTTTTCCTTAAGTGCTTCAAGAAACAACAATAACTGAAGATCTTAAATGTTACTGTTCGATGACACTGTCATCTGTGGCTTCTCTGAACACCGGAAAGCCCTGTCTTTCCACCACCGCTCTGAATTATTTTATTTTGTTAAGTCGTCCCCATGCCACACCGGGGGTGGGGGAATGATGAACTGTATTCGACAATAAATCTCACTGCATAAAAACACAACAGAAGTAAAGCAAAAGGCTTAAGATCGATAAAGAACTTCATTTTCGGTGAACTCATGAGACTGAAATTCTCTTGGATCCAAACTTAAAGCCAGCAGACTCGGAGGACCCGTCAGGAACGGAGCCTCCAACTCGCTGAGGAATAGAGGGGACCCCCCCCCCCCCCGCTCTGGACTCCTGGGGCCAGCTCAGAGCCGCACCAAGGGCCCCTCAGGCTTGTTTCTTCAAGGTCCTCCTCTTCTGCTCTACGTGCAAAAACAGGTCTGGTCTGGAAACACATCAAATGGGGGGACATTACGTAACAAGGGGAGAACTTTTTCTCAGCACAGGAAGCTCCCATTTTCCGGAATGCCGAGCTGGAACGGCCCCAGTGATGCTCCGAGGGGCGAGCCGACTAGAGCCAGCGACTCCGCAGGGGGCCGGGCTGCGTCCTCCTCCAGGCAGCGCTGGAGGGCCGCCGACCGCACCTCCCGACCCCGGGGAGACCCTGAGGCCGGAGACACGGCTCACGCCGGGGCTACCCCTATTGTGGCCCGCGGCACGAAGGCAGGCTCTGCCCAAACTGGGGGCCCCGCGGCCCCGCGATCACCGAAGCGGCTCTTCGCTCTCCGGGGATCGCGGCGTCCGCCCCTCGTGGGCGTTCCTCGGGCCGGACGAGACGCCCCTTTCCCTAATCGCTTCCCGCGTGACCTCGCGCGCCTCCCGACGCCCTCTCCTCCATCACCCGGCTCCGTGGGGGGAGGCGGCCGGAGAACTGGGGAAGCCCTCGGGGGCTGCTTCCGGGCCCCCGCTGGTTCTCGGCTCGGCCGGGCCGCGGGGAGCCCTCCCCACCCCCCCCCGGGGCTCGGGCCCAGCAGGGTGCCCCCTTCCCTCCCCTCCCCCGCACGTACCTGCAGCGGCCTGGGCGGCGGGCCCGGGGAGAAGCCGGGCGGAGGGCCTGAGTAGCCGTGGCCCGAGGCCGGGGAGCCGGAGGCGGGCGCGCGGGGCCGGGCGCGGGGCCCGAAGGGCGACGTCTGGTGCGGGCTCCCGTAGCCGTCCCGCGGCGAGGGTGGCCGCGGGCAGCCCGGGGGGCTCCGGAAGCCGCCGCCTCCGCCGCCCCAGGAGCCGGGGCCAGGCCCCGCGAAGGGCGGCGTGGGCGGGCGGAAGTTCGGCCGGTGCATGCGGGCGCGGGGGCCGCGGGGGCTGCGGGGCCAGGCACGGGGACGCCTGAGCCGCGGGAGCCGCCGCGGGAGCCACCGCCCGAGAGCGAGAGCCAGAACGAGGCTGCGCGCGCCGCGCCTGCGCACTGAGGCCTCCCCGCGGCCGCCGCCGACGCTGCCCCCGACGCTGCTGCAGGAAGGTTCCGGGCGCACGAGGTTCCGGGTCGCGGAGCGCGGGCCAGCGAGCTCCGGACAGGAGGGGCGGGGCGGGGCGGGGCTTCGGCTCGGGCCACAGAGGCCATCTCCGCCTCCTGGCAGGCTCGTGCGCGTGAGCTCCCGACTTCCAGTGCCCGTCCTGGATCTGCTGACCGCACCTGTCCGAACTCCTCGGCCCTGGTGGTCTGTCCGTGACTCCCCATAGAGTCTGCACGGGCTCCC